CCCGTGGTTGCCGCCGCGATGCGTGTCTGCTTTGGTTGGTTCGCTGGCTTGCTACATGTTGGGCATAATGCGGCATGCGAAACAAGCGCGCCTGCTCAAAACCTGGTTTCTACGGCCGGTTCTGGCAAGCAATTATCTTCAGCGCAGTGCTTGACAAAAAGCGCGCGATGACTTCATGAATCGCTCGCGCAATTACAAATAGATGAACTGGTCCATCGAAAACATGACGAACAACTCACTACTGCGCACTCGCAATTTGCCGACTCGGCTCTGGGCGAAACAAGGCCATGGCAACAATAACCAAACATAACGACCACTTCCGCTATCGGACCTCGGTCCCAAAATGCAAGCAAACGCGGGAGGTAAATGAGAAACATCGTAAACGAAGTATTGCCGCATGGTCGAGATGATCTGGCATGCCGCGCGTAACGCCCCACGAGCACTGTAACACGGGAGCATCGTCTTGGTTCCCGCTGCAAGGCTGCAACAACCATTGGTGTAAACAGCTTCTGTTGGACGACAGACCACCCTCGAGGAGTCCGCTCTGCGGTTGCTTAGGCTGCTCAAATCTGCCCTCCAACCTAAGAGATCCTCGAAGAAGCCTCCAATGTACCTTCAAAGTGGTGGGACGGAAGAGAGGGACGAGGAGAAACATAAGGACAGAAAGCCAGCGATGATGATAACCATGCTACGGACGAGGAGGGGATTTCTAGAGCCGCATCACTTCAAACAGAGCACTGAACAGGATGGAGTCGTAACCTAAACCTCCTTCCCGCTGCGCTGGCACACTGGCGGGGTTTGCCGCAGGCAGCTTGATGTTCAAGAGCCCGAAGTAGGCCACGAACACGAACGTGGCGACGACCAATGCCTGGATGAACCCGTGGTTCATGCGCAAATCATATATGAAATCGGCAACGCCATCATGGGCGATACCGTGGGTGATAAGTGTCGCGACTGTTTGACCCACGGACCCGAAGTACTTGTCCCTCAGAACAGGGTCAGTGGTTGCCGTGGTGAGCAGCACGCTATAGGTGTACAGAAGGACGGCGATGAGCAACCAAATTACAGCTGCCGAGCGCATTCCGCTGAACAGTCCCCTCAAAACGATCGCGGCGTCTTTAGATTTGCGTGTAAGCTTGACCAACCTAGCCAACTTTATTAATCGCAAACTCTGCAAGGCAGGCGTTGGGATTCCCGTCCAGGGGACCACCAACACCTCTAGCATTATCGTAATAGTACACACTGCATCAACGCGCAAATCCGGATTACGATACCATTTCCACTTGTATTTCATGCTGGTGATTTCGACAATGAGCTCTGCCAGAAAATACACCATGAAAATACATTCTACAGTAGGGGACAACCAGTGCCGATCCGGGTGAAACAAATGCTTGCCATCGCGATCGAACAAATCCGCGCTGATCCCAATCCAAACGACGTTCAACAACATGACGAACAGCGAAACCGTGGCATAAACTGTGCTCCTGACGATCCGGCTACAAACGTTGTCCGCCTTTTCGAAGAACGATCCGGAACGTTCGCTCGTACGAGAGTGGACGTTGATGCCTGTACGTCGCAAAAGCGAACTTTGGCGCATTCCGTACATCTTCACAGATTCCCCGCGCGGCTCGCCCCATAAAACCGATCTCGCGACGGCCTTTGCATGGCGCGTTAGCTCGACCTGCCAGCTCTTCCGACCTAGCCGGCGCAGCTTGCGGAGATTGCGAGACTTGGGGTCCAGTTGCGCCGTGTCGACAAAGAAGATTTCCATCGGCACCTGGCCCCCCTTGCCGCTTTTGACGCGCACCTTGGAGTAGCCACGGCGGTATGCATCCTCGATGCGCGCGTTGACTGCGGGAGCGTAGCTGCAGAAGTTGCCCTTGGCGCGCTGCCACTGCCACACGTACTGGCCGCGGCCGAGCTCCCTTCCCTGCTGGTCCTCTGATGGCGACCCGAACTCATCCGCGTCGAACTCATGCGCGTCCGCGAATTTCGGAATGCACTCTGATGGCCGGGAAGAGGCTGCATTTTCGTCTTCTTGTTTGTCATTCTCCTCCTGCTCCTCCTCAGCCTTCTCCTCCTTGCTGATCATCAGCGACTTCGCGCCTCCCCAAGCAGGTGGTGCGGACGACGACGCATGCACAGAGCATACGTTCCTGGCCGGCGCCTCGTCCAGATCGATGTCGTCATCAGCCGCCTCTTGGCGAACGTCAAGCTCTCTGGGCTCTTCGGGCGCGGTGACCTCGCAAACGCTAGAATCCTCTGGGGGAACCAGAAGATGCCGGTACTGCTACTCCCCGGACCTCTCCTGGAGTGCGTTCTGACCAGAATTTCGAGGCGAATCCAGCGGTGGCGACGAGGGCCTCCCCGGAAGCCCAAAAAAGAGAAAACGAGGGAAAGGTAGCAGTATTACCTTTTACCTCTCTGGTCCTCGCGTTGAATGTTGCCAAACCCGTCTCTCTGGCCGCAGATATCGTCCTCCAGGGCTGCTGCATCGCCT